GCCAGCTGGAGAGACAAAGGGCTATGTGCTATTTGGCTTCCTCAGTTTTCTTCTATATTGTTCACCTAGCAACCAGAGGACACGGTGTATGGGAAAAGCCATTAGTTCTTGTCCTCAGTGGTCGCCCTGCTTTTCAGGATAGCATGGGGCAGAGCACGAGCTCCACCAATGGACACTAATACATGGTTACCTTCAAGTAGCTAGCCTATTAGCTGAGGTATGATCTCCCTCTCACCATTCCATTTTTGCTGTTTTCTGTCTGTTAAGAACTGAAAGTACTATTTGTGTTTTTTGAGGTTTTCACTTTTTCTGTGGTCTAATTCCCAGCCTCCACAGCTGTATGCCCTGTACTGCAGGCTGTGGACATTCTCTGCCTTTGTTTCACTTCCCAAAGTTTTCTATTTTTTAAACATGGTTCTGATTGCCACTGAAACTGCAGTGTCTTCTCACCATCACCCACTCAGTGAGGGCAGCTGGTTCTCAGTTGTTCCTGGTTTATTTCTGGGAGATGGTAGCAATGCCTGGAGTAGTCTGCCATGCTAGCCTCCATAAAGAATGCATACAACTCTGATAAAAATAGACAAATGATGTGAGTAGAATTTCTATCAAAAGATATATATGTATGTTAATAGTCAATAAGCATATGAAAAGATGCCCGATACCATTAGTCCATAGAGAAATACGTATTGAAATCACAATGTGATAGATACACAATTATAGCTATAACTCAAACACAGCTTAAGTAGAGCAACTGAACCTTCAGTCCACTGGTAGGAGTCTAAAAAGATGATATGCTCCTTAAGTCAAACTGTGAACCTTCCTTACAATGTTAACACAGAATTATCTTATGACCTACCAATTGCACTCCAGGGGAAATGAAAGCATATATCCACATAAAAAACTTCACTAGTTGGGAATGGCAACTCATGTCTTTAATACCATCACAGAGGCAGATGGATCTCTGTGAGTTCAAGGTCAGCCTAGCCTACATTTTGAGCTCTACAACAATCAGGGATACATAGAGAACCGTGTTTCAACAACAACCTTGACACTAACTCCCATTCCTTTAGAGCATTAAAAAGGCAGAAATAATCTAAATCTCCACCATCAGATGGCTGGATAAACAATGTGGTTATATCCACACATGATATTTTATTCTAGAAAGAAGTACTAATTCATAGTACTATGCAGACTTGAAACTTGCTAAGTGAATGAATTCAATCATGGAAAACTGTAGTATGGCTCTTTTCCTATAAACAAATGTTTATAAGAACAGAAAAGTCTATAAAAGGTAAATGATGGGGAATGTTCTTCTGTATATGTTTGACTTATTGGTAGATGAATAAAACACTGATTGGGCATGCAGTGATGTAGCATGGCAAATACTGCCACTAGCTAACCATAGAGGTCTGGAGGTCTGTACAGATGGGCAGGAAGTGATGTAGCTGGGCAGAATCAGAATATAAGCAGGGACAAACAGGAAATAGCTGTCTTCTCTGCAGAGATGTAGCAGGCAAAGGAGATGCATGTCAGGCATTACCAATAAGCTAAGGACCACGTGGAAATACTTAGATGAATAGAAATGAGTTAACATTTAAGACGGAGCTAGCTAATAAGAAACACTAGGAACAGGCCAACAGTTTCATAATTAATAGAGTCTCTGAGTGTTATTTGGAGCTGACGAGACTCTGGCACCAGGCTGGCGGAAAACTGCTGGTAACAAACAGGTAAGGACTTGTTTAGAGTTTGGGTGGGGAGAAAAAGGCATGTCAAGAAAGTGATATGTTTAATACAAACTACTCAACTGTATACTTATAGTAACTGAGCAATAAAGTTATGTAAGTTTTATCTAAATAAAGATAATGATCTTGTAATAGCAAAATGTTTTACTTTTATTTACTTTTATAATATCTCCATTACTGAAGGTGGGAAAGGGGGGAAGAAGAGGGAGAGATGATAGGAAGACAGAGAGGAGGGAATAAGACTATAATCTCCTAGATCTATTATCTAAACCATAACTGTAATAAATACAATGCTGACTGACCACTAACTTGCAAAGGATGGTATCGCCAAATTAAAAGATGACTAAGATAATTGAAATCTGTTCTCTATATAACATCTAAAAATTGAGGGAAAAAGTCTCTTAATGTTTTGATAAAAAACTTGAAATATAGTGATTAATATGTGGCTTTGTTAGACAATTTCAGTAATTAAACACAATGTGAAAAACAGTAAAACAGTTTAATGTCATATTATTAAGCCATGGATTATCTGGTGTGAAGAACAGAATCTGATGAAACCATCAATCTTCACCTTTAATTCTGTAGTTAGTGTCAAACATAAAGTCAGAATCAAAGTATAAAATTAAATTTTATAGTTTATAAATTACACATGTCAACAATTAATATTTATTGCTAAATTAAAAATGTTGCTATATCAATAATAAAGGAGCTGGATTCAGATACAAGCATAATGCAACTTTCTACTTTCTTACTTCTGACACTTTAAAAGCACTATGTTGTTTTCCTTGTCTCTGGGTTTTACTGAGAGTAAATTACTGTTTTGGAGTTTGGAAGATACCAAATGCCAGCTGTCAGGTATGGAACTGTACTAGATTCTTTGATGATATTCTTGTTAGGAACTTCTGGCTGTAGGTCGCATTCTTTTTGTACAGATCCTTAGGTGGGGTCATCCATACGTTTCTGGGAAGAGTTTCTTCTGTCTGGTTACATTTTGTTTTGAGGAAACATAAGCCTTTGTTTTAACAAATTCCTACTACAAACTTCTTCCCTGGTTTTGCCAACACACTCTTTGAATTTTTTTTTTTTTTTTTTTTTTTTTTTTTAGGAGCTTAAGTCCCACAGTGTCACCATCTCTAGGGGCTCAGCAGATAGGTTCTAAGTTCCCCATGTCATTCTCTGAGGTCCACCTTACTTGGCTGAAGAGACATGGGTATGACATAGCATGTTAACAAATCTCCACTAGTCTCACATTCCTCTCACATGAGCAATGAACTCAGGGTTTCAGAAGTGGTCTCACAATGCCTTGGCCAGTTATTTTACCTGGTGTGGTGCCTAGTGACCTGTCTTTAGTCTCAGTTGAAATCCTGTAAGGCTTAGAAAAAGTCATGCTACAAATATATTTTAAATAAATGCAATTAAGCTATTTTCATTTTTTTGTAAATGGAGAAAATATCTTAGTTTATTAGCACAATACAATTAAAATAAGATTAATTAAAAATACACAAAGGAAGTCTAATAATCTGGGGATGGAGAGCTGGCACAGTGGTTAAGGGCACTTTCTGTTTGTTCTTCTAGAAGATCCAGGCTCTGTCTCCATGACCCACACAGTGGCTCACAACTGTCTACAATAACTCCAGTTCTAGGGAATCTGATTTTCTCTTCTGGCTTCCAAGGGCTCTACACATATGTGCACATAAATTCATGCCAAAACTTTACAAAAGTAATTACAAAATGTAATTAAAGTCCAATAATAAAGGATTATAGAACATCAACATACTACTCTTTTTTATTTCTTTTGTAGACAGGGACTCATATACTCAGATTGCTCTCCAATGTCTATATAGCCGAGAGATGTTGAATTTCTGATCTTCCTGTCTCCACTTCCCACCTACAATTTAGATGGTGCTGAGTGAGGACAGAACCAGGGCCTTATTTATGCTAGGCAATAACTATGAACTGGGCAACATCACCTCCCTTTTCCTTTTGTTGTCCCTTTCCCCCTACCTTCCTCCCTCTATTTCTCTTCCTTTTCACCTGCTAAGAATAAAATCCATGACCTTATAAATGCGGAGAAAGAATTCTGTCACTGAATTTCCTTCATAATCCTGTCACATTTCATATGGGTGTATTTTAAAAGTTTAAAAAACAAACAAAACAAACAAACAAAAAAAACCCCCAAAACCAAAATGGTAACAGAAACCAAATACTCTTCCACTACTCCAGAAGTATTACAATTTGATTTTATGTGCAAATGTTATAGATCACAGGTTGACAAAAACTTTTTAAAGAAAGGCAAGAGTAAATATTTTAAGATGTGCATTCAGATCATTAAGATCTCTGCTAGAAATACACAACCTTTGAAAGCAGAGGCAACCACACAAACACAACCAGAGATGTTACATAAATAGAAATAATGGCTATATTTCAGTTTATAACAAATTGTTACCAGAATTTTGTCTAGAAGTCATTGTTGACCATGCCAAAAATTAATCTACTGACATTATACCACATTCTTATTCCTAATCATCCATGAGAATTAAAAATGAATGCTGGTTAACTAAAGGGGGTTATTATAATAGTTAATATATCATTCTATACTGCTTATTTCAAAACACACTGTATTAACTGTAACAGTCACAAATTAAAACTAATATTAAGAACAAAATACCTGTACCTGGCTTTGTGAATTACTGCTTATTAAAGGCATTTTAGAATAAAGTTTAAACAGGAGAGAAATTAATTCATTACATTTGTGAAAAGAATCAAATCTGTTCTCTCTCAAGACAATAACTACCTTTCCCAAATTAGTCTTTGCAAATAAAAGAAAAAAAATGAAATTCATCTGAAAAGGACTTATAAAAATTATATTTGGGATTAAATCTTATTCGTCCTATACGCTAAGCAACTTTGAGCTACTTCCTCAGCAGAGAGAGAGAGAGAGAGAGAGAGAGAGAGAGAGAGAGAGAGAGAGAGAAAGAGAGAGAGAGAGAATTGCATGTGTGTGCACCCATGTGGGGGCTACAGCTGACTTTGGGCAGACACCTTTCTTCCTCTTGCTCTCCTCATTCTTTGAGACAGGGTCTCTCTCTCAAGGTTAGGCTGGCGTGAAAGTGAGCTCAAAGATCTGCTGCTGTCTCTTGTCCCTGAAACACTGGGTTAGAGCCACATGCTTAGGGCGTTGAGTAGTTTAAGTGTTTTCCCACTGAACCATCTTTCCCGGTCCCTTAGCCCAGATGTTCTAATGAACTCAATGCCTACCTGGTAGTGATAGGCAGGTTGCTGATAAACTGGCTGCGCTACCATCACAGGAGAACTAGATATGGACCGTGACTGTGGGAGAAAACAAAATTTACTTTAGGAAAAACTTTAAATTACAATAAAAATTTATCTTGAATTATTGCCTAAGCTCAGTTAACTTTTGGTTATTAATTAAAATGTTCTTCATCTTATGGCATCATTACCAACTTTATTTAAATCTATTTATTAAAATAATCAGTTTTTCTATGTTGCTTCATTTTCATAGTAACACTGAAACAAAATACCACTGAAGTTTCTTTAAGTCTGAAACTTAATACCTTCAATGGTTATGAAAATACAGGCCTATGAGAACATCTAGAAAAAAATGGCACCTGTACTAAGTGTCATGGCCTATTTCCACTGTAGAAACCAGAAGTTGGCTATATTTACAATAGTGGTTAACATCAAATGAATAATCTTATGTTGATTTTCTCATTGCTTAGAACCAACATTCCATTTCATTATTATATATTTAATTAAAATATTTATTGAAACACAGTGAAATCATGTTTAAGTAATTTAATATTTAAATGAGTTAATAATTCAAAAATTGTGACAGGTTTGTGTTTGAAGAAAATGAAGTATCTTTTGATTATTAAAAATGACAGGGTAAGCTCACAAACAGATTACTTAAGACCAGATTATTAATAAAACAGGTAAGTTATATTTCAATATAGGCAAAATAAAGTGATGCTAATGATTAAAATTTAATTTTTAACTTGGGATGTAATATACTAATTTTTTGTTTAAACGTCCACAACCCCAAAGTCAAGACAAATATCATGATATTATACAATACAGATTTGATATGCTAATAAAATTATAGCACAGATAAGGCTAGAAAGTAATAGTATATTTTACTGTTCTTAATATGCTAAAGGAGGAAAATTACCATCTCAGCAGATGGTAATTGCCTTTTTATGATGAAAATTCTTAGCAAACAGAACAGATATTAATATAGGAGAATTTCAACCATAATTGATTTTGCTTCATAAGAGCACTTAGCTATGTTAGGGGACATGCTTAACTGCCATAATTATGGCAGAAATCCTTTTAAACATTTTACAATGGCATGACTAATATTCTACAACAATGAAATATTTGGCTCCAAGTGGAAATAAAGCCAAGATTTTGAAACTCTGGTTCACAGTGTGTTCTCAAAGCTAATGTTGGGGCCATCCAGGAAAGACCCTAATTCAGAGCTGACCCTTAATGGGATTAATGGGATGTGTTTGGAGACTGAGCATGTTGGATGTGACATAGAATCTGCTGCAGTGTTGGAGCAGCAGTTTTAGGAGAGGTATGGACTCTGGCTCTTGGGTCCAGGTGATGAGTTTACAGAGCACCAGATACAACAAAGTATCTACAAAAGTAGGTCCAAGTTCATCACGGTAATTCTGAATTCACAAAATGAATACCAAAGAAAAACTGCAACATGCTTGACTCATGAATTGTGTGTGTGTGTGTTTTTTTTTGTTTGTTTGTTTTATTTTTGGAGGGAGGGTTTCTCCACATAGCCCTGACTGTCCTGGAACTTACTCTGTAGACCAGGCTGGCCTCAGAGTCAGAGATCCACTTGCTTCTGCCTAAAAGTACTGAGATTAAAGGCATGTGCCACCACTACCCAGTGTGAACTGTGCTTGAGAGGACATACAGTATTAAGAAGAATTTAAACCGGAGGATCTAAAGAAGCCAGAATTAACCCTAAATAGTATTTTTACATATAATAAAGATTCCCATTTGATGTTCAGTTTGTCACATTAAGAACAGAATTTGGGGGACTGGAGAGATGGTTCAGTGGTTGAGAGCACAGAGGACCCAGGTTAAATTCCTTACACCTACATGGCAGCTAACAACTGTAACTCCAGCATCTAACACCTCACACAGACATACACACAGGCAAAACACTATTAAAAATTAATAAATAAAAAGAATAAATTAAAAAAAAATTTAAAAGACAGAATTTGGAAGTTGAAGATGAATAAATGCTGAAATAGGGTCCCTTGATTTTTTTCCTGTCTGAATACTGGGCACTTCATTTACCGAGATTGCCATCATAACCAGGACTTTCATTCTTCACTATCAGAGTTGACTATTAACATTGCTTTTGACTTAACAGTAAGGATAAGTACAGAAAAACAGAGCCAAGAGGTAGTGGATCACACCTTTAACCTCAGTATTTGGGCACCTTTAATCCTGGCATTAAGGAGGTGGAGACAGGAAGGGGTGTATGGCTGGATGGAGAGAGGAATATAGGAGAAGTAAACTGTCTCATTGGGCATGGCTTGAGCATATATGAGACCTCAAAGTCCACTCCACAGTGACACACTTCCTTTAACAAGACCAGACCTACTCCAACAAGGCCACACTTCCTTTGGGAGTGTTTTCTTTCCAACTACTACATTCATGTACTTTACATTCTTTCCCACAGTGTCCACACGCATACTTTGGCCGATCCTCTTTCACTCTTGTCCTTTATCTTTCCAGCTGTTCCTGCTGTTCACTTCCATTCTCAGCAGTCTCCCTTCTACTTTGTCGTATTTATTCAATTACTGTTTTCAGCTCCTTTCTCAAAATTTCCCCTTTCACGGTTCCCTTTCTAGCTTTATAATCTACACTCACACTTACTGCCACATAAATGCACAAATGCACAATATAAAAATTAGAAGCTAGGATCTTTGTAAGAGAGGGAATTTGGTATTTTTTCTGAATTTGGGTTACCTCACTTAATATAATAATTTCCAGATTTATCCATTTTACCACAAATTTCACAATTTCAATCTCCTTATAACTGAATGACAAGAATAGCAATAAGCAAATGTGTAAGTACCTCTGTGGTATAGAGTTAACTCAGCTCTCAAGCTCTGAGTTGTATATCTCTAGACCATAAACTCATCCATGCAAACTCTCATCTGCTCCATGCAATGCAAATATTCTAAGGTATTTGATAGCCCTCTGTACCCTGTGCAGTACGTGTACCTCTTGTTTGATGCTGCTGATGAAATGTAAAAATAATTCCTTAAAGTCAATTATTAACATCTAGTAACAAATGAAAAAAAAAAAGAGTATCTTAAGCTACCTATATGCATACATGTCTCACTTGTATAAAGTCATACAGCGATCCCTCAACTTCTTTTTCCCCAAACAAGATTATGTTAATATTGTGTCAGAGATACTGCCATTATAATAATTAGGAGGAAAAAATATTGACATACCAAATCAAAGGCATTATTAGTTAACTGTCACAAACTATTAGGTAACATTTTTTTCCCAAAAAGATATCCTTCATAAATGTAACAATAACTACAGAGTAGTAAGAACCAAGTAAACAAAAGTTGTGTCATTTCTTCTTATTGAGAAAGTAAAAATTTTTGATGGATGAAAATAAAAGAGAGACTTATGTAACTAAATGAATAAACAGATTATGTTCAAGGATAGGAAAATTCAATTACAAAAGATTTAAATGTCCCAAATTAATATTCATGTTGAAAGGAATTCTAAAAAGACCAACAGGGGATTTCCAAAGAACAGCTGATGCATAAAATTTTAACTCATAAAAAGCAAATATATATGGTTATGAGTATGAGAAACTGAAAAAAGAACAAAGTGAGAGATATGCCTTATGCAACTTCAAGACTCATGATAAGGTCTGGTAAGATGACTCAGCAGGTAGGGAGAGGGACCTGCCAGTTGCCTGAAGATGTAAATTTCACTGCTGGAATTTACACACTGGAAGGAAGGAACTGACTCCTACAAATTGTCTGAGTATGTACATGTTTAATACGGAAAGGCACAATAAAAAAATGGGTTTGAAAGATGACGAAGGAACAAGAAAAACAAAACAAAACAAAAACAACAACAAAAAAAAACAAAACAGTTCTCCTTAGAAAACAGCTCTTTTGTCTGTAAGCCAAACAGCCTATATAACTGAGGTTTTGGAGGCAAACCTACATTATTTTTCTCGGCTTTCTCTGGTAGCCTTTACTTTGCCAGCCTATTAAATGCTAAGAGGGTAACTACTGTTTGTTCTTTGGATACAGAAGGCATTTCCTGTCTCTGAGTGTTTCTGTGTTTCAGCTAAGGCCAGCAAACACCCTCTTCCCTGCCAGTACTTGATAGCCCTTTGTGGAGGGCATCCTGACAGCATTCAAAGAACGAAGAGTTCAAGAGCTTGGGGATGTTATTATTATTTTCCCAGTTTCTTCTCTTTCCTCCATTATGTTTTGTTTAGGCTAAGGCACTTTGCATTTCCCAGCACACGCTGGATAAAGGGAGGAAGAGAAGCAGAGTTAAGAACAGAAGAAGGAATGGGCAAATGGACGCTAAATCAACAATATGTGCTTCCTTTCAGATAAGGTCTTGTTGTGGACTCCATTATCAACATTTGACCTTGGAAATACCTGAGAGATCTTAATATATTACTGTTGATTCTTGCTTAACAATAAGCTGTGGTGTTCATCATGGGATTTATTATTGAAACATTTCTCTTTAATCAATATCCATTCACATCACATAGTAAATCAGAGTTCTCTCTGTGACCCTACCAAACTAAGAAAGAGAGATACATGGTGTGTCTCTTCAGTTGCTGTGCTTCATAGTCTTTCCTTCATTTTTTTAATGGCCATTGTGAGCCAACTCTGTATATGAGAATGTGACATTCATGTGCATCAAAAATAAATAGGAATATTAAAACAAAACAAAACAAAAACAGCAACAAAAAAGCCCTATATGCTCTCTCAAACAAAATGTAGTAAGACTCATGAGAAAGTCATAACATTTAAAATGTAACTGGGAAAGTATATAACCAGTGAAATAGAATGAAAAACTCAGAAACATATCCACCACAAGAAACACAGCATTTGAAAAAGGTTCCATTTCAAAACAGAAAAAGGGATTGATATATCAACATATAAACTAAAGATTTAAATCTAGATATGAAAAGCAGCAACATTTAGGAATATAAAATCTAAAAGGTTACCTATATTCTTGTAATAAAGTTGAAATTGTTTATCAACAATCATTCACAGGTTTGT